GGGAGAGGAGAAAGGGAAGGCGCGCTCGCTGCGAGGGAGGAGCTCTCTCTCTCGGCAGCTGTTACACACAGGGGCGCGCGCGCGCAAGAGCACAGAGCAGAAGAAGGGGAGGGAGGAAGGAGGAACACGGAGAGGGGGGCGGGGGCTATGTCTAGAGAGGGGGCTGGTGGGGAGGGGGAGGAGTAGGGATCTCTCAACCAAGCGTGCGGGGGGAAAGGGAAGGAAGAGAGGTAGATGGCTGTCGGTTGGGCACCCGCCAGGCTCGGTGGGCTGTCGCCGGTTTCCTTTTTGCCTGGCAATGTTCATCGTCCTCTCCGGAGGAGCCAGGCCTCCGGGGGAGCCGGAGGCTAACTCACAGGGGTCGCGCAGGGGCAGGAGCATGCACACCACGCACACACAGATACGCGCACAGGGAGACCTGGCAGCCGGGCCCCCGGTTCACGAATCCCTAATCAAGGTGCCAAGGACGAAGGGGCGCATGCACATTGGGAAAAACTGCCTTTCGCCCCGTGCGCCTGCCAGCCCGCCCGCCCCGCGGCAGGAGACACAGGCGCACCTACATCGGGGGGGGGGGGGGGGGGGGGGGGGGGAAGGACAAGCTGCTCAAACGGCCGGCCCGGGTGTAACGGACGGCTGATGTCTTCCGGGAAACCTGAATCCCTCGCACCAGCGGGCGCACGTCTCAACCGCCCGGACTTGACGAGTAACCGACGCTTTTCAAATTTCAGGGGCCACAAAAAACCGGCCACCCAAGGGCCACCCAAGGGCCACCCAAGGGCCACCCAAGGGCCACCCAAGGGCCACCAGGGGTGCCCACCTGGCTGACCCCCCCCCCCAGGCCCATGGGAAAAGCGTACAACTGCCATGTGTGCGCCCGAGGATGCGATGGACAGTCGTCGGAACCCGCCCACCTGCCCGGCGCCCTCATGGACCGCCCACCTGCCCTCGCCCCCCGCCCGGCGGCAGTCGCACCAGTAGGCCGAGCTGCCCGGTAGGTCTCCGGCCCCGCCCCGCCCCCCCCTCCCCGGTTTCCTGTGGCCGCACCCTCCGAGGGCACCGAAACACGCGCTTCAGCCCGCGGCAGAAGCTATGTTGGTTTTTGATTTTCAAAAGTAACGACTGCATGTGAGCTGGCATGTGATGGTCCTATCACGCGACCAGTATTCTCCACGCTGGCCTTCCAGGCGCCGGGGGGGAGGTCCCGCACGGGGCGGCGATCTACCTCTGCTTCTTGGAGGCCGGCTCGCCCTTCCACCGAGACCTGGTGGGAGAACGCGCGCCTTGGACCCCCCGGGACAGAGACGACGAGCATCATCCACCAGAAGGGAGGGGGGGGGGGGGGGGGGGGAAAAAAAACTCGACCCTGCACCGACGTATGTCTCTCTTGCCATCTGACACACACACACACACACACACTACTCTCTCCCTCTCCCCGCTCGCCTTTCGTCCGCTTTTATTCCCACAAACACACCTGCACTCCATCCGATCCTACCCCTTTGTAGCAACACGTCCACACACGCCACCTCCCGGTTCGTCTGTCCCCCTCCGCCCGGCCTGTCCACCCTTTCACCGACGCCTCTGACTCTCGGCAATCGCCTCCACCCCCGCCACTGCCACCGCCGCCACCCCCTGTCACCTCACAGCATTCCACCAGTGCCATGTCCTTCCTCGGCCTGAGCTCATCGGCGACTGACGCGTCGCTCGCCGGGGTGTTTGCCGCATCCGCCGGGCCGGCCATCATCCCGGTTGTGACCCCGGCTTCCAAGCCAACCCCGGCCAAGGTGTCCGACAAGGATGTCATCCATAGCATCGATCTGCATGGGCAATTCGGAGCCCGGCGCCGGCTGCTCGCCAAGAAGGCCGCCGCCGACAATGACCACCTGCCCGAGCGTCTGATGGAGGTCGATTCCGAGGAGGAAGCCGCCGACCTGGCCGAGATCGGGACCGACTCCGATGATGAGGATGCCGACTCCGGCAACGAGAGTGACCCGGAGTTGGCGCAAATCCGCCGCCAAGCTGCCCGCGCTCTGGGCACCACGGTTGCCGAGCTGAAGAAGTTCTCGGCCGCCGCCGCCGCCGAGGCCCAAGACAGTGACGACGAGGGGGATGAGGACGACGAGTCAGCCACGCCGGCCGCCGGCACGGCGCCCATCCCGGCAGACCCTGTGGTGGATCGCGACTCGCCGGAGCGCCGTCAGCGCACGGTCTTCATCGGCAATCTCCCGGCCGCGGTGATGGCCAAGGCCGGCAAGCGCCAGCTGCGCAAGCTCCTGACCCCCCATGGCAAGGTGGAGTCCATTCGCTTCCGGTCGGTGGCCGTATCCACGGTGACTGTCCCCAAGCGGGTGGCCATCTCCCGCGGTATGTTCAATCAGACCCGGGCCGAGGTCAACGCCTATGTGGTTTTCGGCACCCGGGCTGAGGCCCGGTCGTCGCTTGCTCTGAATGGCACCTTCTTCGAGGTGACTGGCGTTGGCAATGAGGCCAAGGCGCCGGAAACCCGCAAGCGCAAGCGGTCCGAACTCGACTCGGATGACGAGGACTCGGATGACGAGGATGAGCAGGCCTCCGACAGCGACCCGGACAGCCAGGAGGCCTCCGACGAGGAGGACGCCGCCGAACCGACCAGCGATCTCGAGCAGGAGGAGGAGGACGATGACTCCGAGGCCGACGACTCCGAGGATGAGGAGGACGACTCCGAGGATGAGGATGACACCATGTCTGATGTCATCATGAAGAAGGCCAAGAATGCGCGTGCGGAGGCGGCCCTGCCGAAGGCTGGTGGCCGGCATCTGCGCTTCGACCTGCTTGTGCACAAGGTCGAGGGGGAGGACGACCTCCAGGCCGCTGCCAACATGGGGCGCGACCTTTCTCGCACGATCTTCCTGGGCAATGTCCCGTTCAATGCCTCGGATGAGGACATCCGCTCGCACTTCCGCTCTTGCGGCGAGATCGAGTACATCCGGATGATTCGCGATCGGGTCACCCAGCTGGGCAAGGGCTTCGCGTATGTCTGCTTCCGCAAGGCCTCCAGCCTGTCGCTGGCCTTCCGCCTCAACAACCAGCCCATGCTGCTGGCCGGGGCCGAGGGGAAGAACAGTCGCAAGCTGCGCATTAGCCAGGCTCGGCCGACGGACAACCGCCCGATCCTGGGAAGTCGCGCTCTCGATCACACCGGGCGCCTGGCCAAGCCCGGCGTTGCGGAGAAGGCTGTGGCCGCGCTCCTGGGCGACCGGAAGAAGGGTGCCACCGGCTCCGGTGACAAGGATGGCGTCAAGAAGACCAAGGTGCGCATATCCACCACTCAGCCAGTCCACGCAGCTCCCTGGCCAAGTCCAAGGCGGGGGGGGGGGGGGGGGGGGGGGATCTCATGGCTCTTCTCCTCCTTTCTCTCCCTCCATGTCACATTCTCACATGCCATCCCACTGCTGCACATCTGCGCACATGTGCCCCCGCCCAATATGCCGCCATGCCCTTTCACCCGGTGCATTAGTTTGAGGGCCGCCACGCCTCTGCCAGCAGCAAGGCCGTGGCCACCAAGAAGCGCTTGCCTGATGGCACCAAGGCTCGGCACCGGCGTCCTGAGGGCGCTGCCTGGGCCGGCGCCGGCGGAGCCACGCCCGGTGCCTTTGTCCATGCCACGGAGAAGGCCATCAAGGAGGTTCGCAAGAAGGACAAGGAGAAGCGCCTGCGCCAGGCTAACAAGAAGGCGGTCGCCGAGGTTGGGACTTCCAACAAGCGCGCCCCTCGGGCGGAGGTCCGCGCCAAGCTCGCCGCCGAGGCGGCTCGCGGTGACAAGCCCACCGAATCCCAGAAGCGCCGCCTTAAGAAGAAGGCCAAGGCCGAGGCCTTTGAGGCCCTCGCAAGCAAGGCCGGTCTTTGAGGGGGGCTTTTTTCTTGGCCAGCCAGGAAGCAGGAGACACTCATGCCTCCATCGGCTTGTGTGCACATCTCTCCCCCTTCAACCTCTCCGCCCTTTGGGTACCTGCTGGCTCCTCTCTCCCTTCTTTCCTCTCCTTTCAAGGCAGCCTCCTCCCTCCGCCCCCCCCCCACACACACACACACAAGCACAAGCACAAGTACACTGCATACATACAGAGAGGGTGGAACACAGGACCGCGCTGGTGCCTCTAGAGAAAACCCATGCGACTTTTAGACCCCACCGTCCAGAAGACTTGACCGGAGTGAATAAATCAAAAACATCCCCAGCGGTAAAATGGAAATGGGCCCGATCAGGAGGGAGCCCGCTCAAATGCACAGGCAGAAATGGGTCACCGGACGGGGGGGGGGGGGGGGGGGGGCTATCGAAAATGGGACACTTTTCATTGGGACACCCACAAAGTTGGACATGCAATCCTACAGCTTTTCCTGCTTGACGCGACCGCCTGGGGCGCTGCCGGAGGCCCCGGCCTCGGCCAAGGCCAGAGCCGCACGCGACTTGGCGGCTGTCGTCAGCTCCGGGCCGATGGCTTGCGACAGGCTGCTGTGCTTCTGTGTGGCAGCCCGACGCTCCTGCTCGCGGCGCTCCAGCTGACGCGACAGGTCGATGAGATGCAGGGCCTTTTGCCGGAACTGGTCGAAGGCCTGCACCACGGGCGTGGTGGCCGCACGGAACTTGGGCGGGACTGGGGCCAGGAGGGAGCCAGGCAAGGGAGAAAGAATCAGCACTGGAACTCATCCCCGCCCCCAAGGGGCAGGGGGGAGCGAGAAAACCACCGGTCAAACGCACCCTGAACTTCCTCGAGAATCTGCTCGTAACGACGCTGGGACTTGGAGTTGATGGTGTTCGGTGGGCCGAAGCGTGCGCTCTTTAGCGACACGCCAGGGGGAATGCGTGCCTCGCGAGCATCGCGCTTCCGTCCTGCGAGCAAAATGTGTGAGCACATGGTGGCGCTCGAAGACAGCAAGCATCGGGGAGGCGGGGGCAAAAAAGAAAAAAGAAAAAAAGACACGCACCAGTCGCTGAGGGGGTGGCTGTACCCGGGGCCGCTGGATCTGGCGTGACTGCGGGGCCGGGCGTCGACTCGGTCGAGGGAGGAATGCTGGCAGAGCGCCGATGCTTGCGCCCGGGCCCGGTGGCCGCTTCGCCCGGGACCATTGTTTGGCGGCCCGTAGTCGCCCCGGCACCAGGGCCAACGCCAGCACTGGGAGTCGATCGCCCGGGACCGGGCCCCCGCCCAGGCCCGCTAGTGGGTGCCCGCCCGGGGGCCGACTCGGTGCTGAGACTCGCCTGCGAAGCACTGGCAGACAACCCCCCGACATCACCGGACAACGAGTCGCTCGAGGGGCCAGAGAGGAGCGGAGCCGTGCCAGCTGGGCCAGCTTCGGTCGCATCGCCCGTGCGCGGCCCCGGGAAAAGGGGCACGCCCGACTGCTGCCGATATGTCTGTGCGATGGCCAGTTGCTGTGGTCGAAGAATAGAGGTGGGGGAAAACAACGGTGTGTTTGCTGTAAGGCCGCATGATCTGGGGCGGCAAGGAAAGAGGGAGATAGAGAACGAGCGAGCGAGCGAGGGAGAAGACACGCTTCGGCATCGATGTGCAGATGTGTGCCCAGACATGCAAACACATATCGCCGCACCTTCTTGAAGGCCATCGCTGATGCCGCATCCAGGCGTGACAACTGCGAGACCACCTGCTGCCGGTCCCGAACTGCCCGCCGCGACCGCATCTCGATGGCCCCGGCAGCGGCAAGCAACTGGCCCTCCTCGGCCACTTGGGCCGCTGGCCGAGCCAGCAACAGGCCCAGGGTCTGCCGACGGGCCGCATCCAATAATGGGTCGTAGGCCACATACCCGGCCACCTGGGCCTCGGCCGCGTTGATGAGCGCCTCGCGCCGAGCTGCATGCTGCTCAGGCGACTCGTTGGGCTCGGGAGCCAATGCCCCGGCCGCGGCCTCGGCCCGGGCAATCACCAGACGTGACACCACATTGTAGTAGCGCGCCTTGATGTCCTCAAAGCGCCGGGGCCGGATCCCGGCCATATCATCTGGCCACTGGTCGGAGATGATGGCAAAGCGCTGGTCGTATTTGCGAATCAGCTCCAGGAGAAGGTCCGTCTCGCCGCGCGTCCACTCAAGGTCTGGCCAAGAGTCAGAGATCCACAACAAACGGCGCAGCCACCGAAGGGATGGAAAGGGCCGGAAGGCGGGCAAGAGGCCCGAGGGAAGGAACAGTCGCGTACCCTGCAGAAGGTCTTGGTACTCCTCATCGGTGTAGCTCATAACCACCGGCTCCAGGTGGAAGTTTGCCTCGGGGAAGGCTGCCAGAATGCAGGGGGGGGGGGGTGAGAAAGAGGGAGAGAGAGAGAGGGAGGGAGGGAGGGAGAGGGACGCCGAATGCCAGGGAGGGGAAGGAAAAAGGGGGAAGCAGCAGCCCGGAAGGCAAAGGGCAAGGGGATGACGGACAATCTTCGGCACTTGTGGAGGCTGGCATCCACCGCTTGACGCGCAAACGGTCCGATCGACAAGGGTGGGAAAACTCCCGGTGCTCCCTGCGACAGGAGAAAGACAAATGACACGCCCCGGGGGGAGTGGGCAAGGTCAGTGAAGCTGGGAAAGAGGGGCGAGGAGGGAGAACACGCGGAGAGGCCCCCCACCACGACGCACCAGGGCCGGCAACGGCGGCGGTCAGATGGCCGGACCGGCTGCCGAGGGAACACCGGCGGGGCCTGGGAGTTCAGGGACATCTGCATGGAAGGCAGATCCGGAGCCACCGGGCCAACGCTCACGCTGCCAGACGTCGGCTGCGTCGATTGACCGAAGGATAGCCGCTCGCCGGCCGCCGGGGTGATGGCCTGCAATGACTCGCCCGTCAAGCCGGACTGCACAGTAATGAGCTGGCCATTGGACACCACGCCGCGTGCAGCCTGTGCGATGGCTGATCGGGTCTTATTGGCCGCCGCAGCTTCCACGGCGCTTGGCGCGGGGGAGGCCATTGTCGGTTGCCGAGGGGGATTCCGGGAGGGCAAGGCAATGCCGAGGCCAAGCAAACGAAGCGCAGGGGGGGGGAGGGCACTCGGGGTGGGCAAATGCAAAGAAAGGACTCTGGGATGGATAGGGGGACGAAGAAAAACAGGAGGAGTAGGGCACGATAGAGAGCATCCAGATGTAGAGGCGTGGGGGGGGGGGGGGGGAAGAGGAGGTGGCGTGCTTGTCGCCTCGGCGGAACCGGCTCGCCTCCCGGTTTTGAGATGAACGGGGAACCGAAAAGGCGGCGCGAATCGGGCCGATGCGTGGGCAGTTGCACATAACGCGGGAACAAGATCAGGGGACCCTGGCTGGTAATGGACGCGGATCACGCATTCACTTTCGGCACGTGCTGCTCCCTGAAGTGTAGCAGGGTTCTCATGGATCCAGTCTTACGTCAAAGGAGTGAAGCTTTGACGGAAGCTATACCGGAAATCTTACTACTGGTTAGGGACCGCTCGGGCATGAAGGAGGGCG